AAAATTTTGGCGGATAAATTATTACTTCGGGGACTACGGAATGTAGGAGGCTGAAATTTTAGGGCAGTGACCCCTGCCCACCACGTACGACCTTGCAGATTCAAATGCAGCGTTCTTGCGCTGTCGGGTATCAGCTACGGACCAGTGAAAATTTTGGCGGGGAAATTATTGTCTCAGGAGCCATAAAAGCCAAGAAGATGCAATTTTGCGGTAGTGCCGGTGCGTAAGATTTCCTGCGTCGGTGCGTAAAATTTTTAACTTTTTTTCAACGTTTCAACTATTTTTGCACAGGCTAAAGTACAAATCAGTGAAAATCATTAACAGGCAATCGTTCAAAGGACGAAGTGCCTGGTCGCACCGGCTAGTCTGGTGCGCGTTGCTATTTGTTCAAATATTGCAGCACTGTCGATCGAAGGAGTATAGCGCAGCAAACAGTGCTCAATTTTTGCCAGAATTCCCCCTCCCCCTTTTTGCGACATTAGATCATTCGCGCATTTTTCACCTAATTTTGTTTGATAGCATTTTGGCGCGACTTTTTTTCCACTTTATTTTGTGCATTTTTGCAGGTTCTGGTTGAAAATGCGTATGTAAAGAAATCAAACGATGAGAAAGCCATCATTATCAACAAGGTTCTCCTTTGTGAAAATATTTGGCTTTCAAAAAGAGTAATAAATGCAGAAGCTTCTTAAAGCAAAAACTTTGAAATTTTATTTTAATTGAGTGCATTTTTAGGGGAGTGATGGTTTTGGATTTACAGTATTTGAAAGCATACAAGGTCAACGAGTGAAAAAAATATTGTATCCTGAAAGATGCGAGAATTTACTGGAAGGTGACACACTCTTGGAAATGCGAACTACTTATCCGCATGGAAGTCCGAGCTGTCCAGTGGGAGAGGAGCGCGTCACGAATTTTCGTGGACTTCCGCATCATGAACTAGTTTCTATTCTGAGGGAGTGTCCAGTTGGATTTTGGGCCAAATTAATTGTGAGGAGAAATTCACCAAAGCACAGGTTAGCTTCATTTTTTATACATTTTTTGCGAATATGGCGGCACACACTGTGTGCTTGTGTCTGTCTGTCTGCTCTGCATATCAATTCTAAGATCGCACAAGTTAAAAAGGTGGATTTTTAGGAGCTGAATTCATTAGCTCGGATTTCCAGTATCAGATTTTTACCTTATAAAATCTTAAGCTATGATTTCAAGCAGTTCGGAACAGAACGGTACAAAAAACGCATTCTGTTAGCGATTCTTTAACGCGCATTCCTGTTTACTGTAAATCTCTGGTTATAAATTACCCTGTAGGTGCTTAATAAAACTGTGGTCATAAATTTGACTAGAGATTCGGCAAGCACTTCTTGGATATAGTAAATCCCAGTGATACAGGAAGACATAGCGAATGCTTCAAGAAAAAGCAGCTGCTTTATTCAGCGAGAAAAGTCAGCTGCTTTATTGCTTGGAACTCTAGAAAAAGGAGAAATCTGACTGATTCGTTAAGAATTTTTAGGCCACTATGAGTTTTATTATAAAGATGAACAGCTTAGGAAATGAAATGAGTCATTCTTGACTATCTTTTTATATGTAAACACTGATATGTATATATATACAAACATACACACACATGTGTGTTTATGTTTATTTATCCCAAGTTACTAGTAGGTGTCTAGGCGATCTTATCTTTCTGGCTAGATGGTACGATTTCCTTTGAAGAGCGTTGGTT